ATATCACAAAAACAAAAGAATCGTAAGAGACTACTATGAACAATTATACACCAACAAATTGGATAACCTATAAGAAATAAGTGAATTTCTTAAAATATACAACATAACCAGACTGAATCATGAAGAAAGAAAAGATCTAAACAGACCTATAACTAGTAAGAAGAATAAAGCAGTAATCAAAAACCACCCAACAAAGAAAAGTTCAGGACCAGATGGCTTTACTGGAGAATTCTGCCAAATATTTAAAGAATGAGCACCAATCCTTCGCAAACTCTTCCAAAACACTGAAGAGGAGGGAGCACTTCTAAGCCCATTCTACGAGACTAGCATTACTCTGATACCAAAACCAAACAAAGACACAACAACAACAACAACAACAAACCACAGACCCAAATCCCTGAGGAATATTGGTACAAATTTTCGGGACAAAATACTAAACATTGATAAAAGAAAAGCAAAGAAGATACAAATAAATGGAAAGACACTTCATGCTTATGGATTTGAAGACTTCATATTGTTAAGATGGCAGTACTACCCAAAGCAATCTACAGATTCATTGAATCCTTATAAAAATCTTCACAGCATTTTTTAATAGAAAAAAATTCTAAAATGTATATGGAAATCTCAAGGGACCCTGAATTGCCAAATACTGGGGTGAAAAAAAAAGAACAAAGCTGGAGGTCTCACATTTCCTGATTTCAAAACATGATACAACAGTAATTAAGACAGTGTGGTTCTGGAAAAAAGATACATATGTACACCTACTTAACACTACTGAACCATGCACTTTAAAATGGTCACATTGGTAATTGGTTTATGCTATGTGTTTTTACCACAATAAAAGAAAAAGAATTTATACACACACAGACACAGACACACACACACAAATCTTTTAAGATGAGTGAAAGAAGCCAGACATTAGTCACTGTACAACTCTGTTTGTATGAAATTCAAGAACAATCTGTGATGACAGAAATCAGAGTGACAGTTGCCTCTGGGGCCAGAGATTGAATGGGAAGGAGCAAGAAGGAACTTTCCATGTCTTGGGCTGGTGATTACCTGCCTGAGTGTATGCAGATGTTAAAATTCACTTAGCTACACATTGAATATCTGTGCACTTTTCTGTTATGTGCACCAAAAAGCACATCATGGGATTCAGCATAAAATAGAAAAAGGAAGCAAGAAAGGCAAGTCAAGTCACAAGGCAGCACAAGTTGCCAATAGCAGAAAGTCAAGTTCAAAGACCACCATAGAGAGTTCAGTACTGAGGCATCCGATGCTCCTTCCTAAATGAAAAGAATAGCAGAAAGGAGGCTAAGTGGTCTTAAAAGCTAGGCACTTCTGCTGTGTTCTCATGGGAACTGTGGCACTTGGTGCTTACAGACCATTGGAAATCCTCACTGCTTTTATCTTCCAAGTCTGCTGGTCGCTCCTGGGGCCTCAGGAACCTGAGAGACTCACAGTAACTGCCACAAATGATCACAGCAGCCTGTGAATTAGAGGTGATTTACCAAGTGGGTGAGGGGAGGCACAGCACAATCTCACGTGTGCATGAGTTAAATCTGCTGATGCTCACGGATCCGCCTCCTCTCCATCACTCCAGGAGCGATCTTTCTCTTTCTCTTTCACTTCCAAATCTAATGGTAAACCTGATCCAGGATAACGCTGGCAAGGAGTTCTGAAAAATGTAGTTCCCAAACTTGAAGCCCCCCCAATAAAGAGGAGAGTAAAGAAAGAAGGGGGATACATGCTGATTGCAAAAACACCAGTGTTGCTCTTTTTTCTAATTGGGATTCACTTGATTGCTGATGGGACTGAGTGCTTTCCCTATGCTTGCTCGCTGTATTTTCCATTTTGCAGTAAACCATGAAAAAGCTGTTGCTTTAACAAAGTTCCATTGTAGTGGGAGAAAGAAAACTGATTAATGTGTTGACTTCTGTTCTACATATGCCTCGGTGGCCGTGTTGAGGAACTTAATTCAGGCTAGTGATGGGCACCAAAGTTCATGGGACATTCGAGCACACTGACCAGGAGGAACACCATTTTTCCTAGTATTGAGCAATTACTGTGAGCCAATGCCTTGCGTGTTAATTATATTCTGTGCATCTTACAGACGACGTGACTGATAGAATATTTTAAGTACTTCCTTGTGCATTTTTCCTCCTCACAGTAGTCCAATTCTTTCCCTGGCGGCTCTTTCCAATTTTAAAGCTGGAGTGTGAGACTTGTTGATTTGAGGAGGGAGCAGGAGGGATTCCAGCTAGAACAAAGAAGGCCATCTGGTAGGAAGAGGGCTGAGGTAGGAAAGTCCCTACCAGAAGGAAATAAGGGGAAATCCTCCCCTCATGACTTGGGGCAGGTAGCAAGGAAAAGAAGGGAGAAGAGCAGGTGTCAAGATGCTGGAGTCTTGGCACCTCACAGTCCTGGGGTCACAGTGCTGGTGTGAAGTGGAATGAGGTATAGAAACCCCAGAACATTTCGAGATACCTAGGGCATAAATGACCATGGCCTGGCTTCCCAGGGCATTCACAGGCCACGGACATCACAGAGGACTGTGTTCCATGTGCCTTTGAGCACTAGATCAGAGGCAGCAGAGGAACTGAATGTCTTCAGAAACTGGTGGCTGTGATTAATCCTCAAGGAAAGGAATTGGGAGCCCCATAAAGGACATTGAATCCTGTGGATTTTGTACTCTGTGGATGACCATGGTAGATAAATTACAAAAATGTCCACAAGTCTATAGCCCCTCATTCACACCTTTCACAGTATGACTTTGTAGATCCTCTTAACAAGAGGCAAAATCTATTTTCCATCCTTTGAATCTGGCCTGGTCTTGTCACTTGCTTTGACAAAAAGAATATGGCAGAAGTGACCTTGTACCTTGCAGCTTCTCTCAAAACTGCCACTTTCATGTGAACGTGGCTAGCTTCCTGGAGGATGAGAGACCACATGGAAGAGAGTTGAGGTACCCAGGTTGACAATCAATCAACCCCAGTAACAAAGCCACCCAGCCTACCTGCAGCTGACCTCGAGTGTGAAGCAATCCAACCAAAATCAGCTGTGATGACAAGAACCACCTGACTGAGCCCAGACTAAATTGTCAACCCACTGAATCATGAATTAAGTAAATGACTATTGTTTTAAGACTTCGAGTTTTGGTGTGGTTTGTTACACAGTGATAGCTAACCAATACAATGCCTTGCCTATTAAAATTTTTAAAAAATTATTTTTTAGCTGGGCTCGGTGGCTCAGCCTGTAATCTCGTGCTTTGGGAGGCTGAGGTGAGTGGATTGCCTGAGCCCGCAGGTTTGAGACCCACCTGGGCAACTTGGTGAGACCTCATCTCTACAATAAATCAAAAAATTAGCCGGGCGTGGTAGCGCATGTCTGTGATTCCAGCTACTTGGAAGGCTGAGGCGGAAGGATCGTGGGAGCCCAGCAGGTCGAGGCTGCGGTGGCCGGGAGCGGCCACTGCACTCCAGTCTGGGTGACAGAGTGAGACTCCAACTCAAAAAAAAAAATTATTTTTAAATGAACCCTGAGAAGAAAATAAACAGCTGAGAAAGGAATCTGCCTGAATGAGCAGGTGATTCAGAAGTTCCTGTAAGAGAGTGATGTGGAGGTGCTGAGGGTCTGGTGGAATCGTCTAGGCCTGTGGCTCCAAAATAGAGGTCTCTTCAGAAGGAGAACAAGTAGGGGGAGCAGTGGGATTTGACAGTGGATCCAGCAAGGCCCTAAAGGTCCAGACAGGACCAGCTATACCTCAGCAGCCCCAGTGAAAAGTCCTTGGAGTCCAGGCCAGATCAATCTCCTCATGGTAGACACCAGATTCCAGGGATCTGAGGGACATACTCAGACTCAACACCTGCCACCTTACCCTAGGAAAAAACTTCTGCATCCTCTATACCCAGGACCATCTGGAGTGGGATGGAGAAGGCAAAACACTGAAAGTCTGAGTTGTTCTGGTTTTTTCCCTGGAAAAGATTAGATTAACCTAAAAGAGAATGGTAGCAACCTTTACAGTGCTCTCCAACCCATCCGTGCAACCATATTTTTATTCCTAATTTTCAGATTAGAAAATTGAGGCACAAAGCACTCAAATGATTGTCTATGGTCACATGGCCAGATCTGGGTAAAACCAAGATTGGAACACAGAGAGTGTGGCTGAAGAGGCTATTGGAAACTGGAAGGGTTGCTTTTATTGGCAAGTTTAAGTTTTTCCTTCCTGACAGCCAGTACAAGGAGACTCCTGAGGAAGTTTAGATGAGTAACAGGAAATGAAGATGCCACAAACACATGTGTATGCACAATCTGAGTGTGTTGCATTTGGGCCCTAGGAAATGGACACTGAGAGGGTCGCCTGTGATTATATGTTCAGGAATTAGGTCTCTGCCCTCCCTGCAGTGCCAGAAGAACTCCATGGGACTTGCTTTATAGGAAATCCTTCTTCAGAAATGTCACCTCCTCTATTTCCTACATATCGTGAATAATTGTTAGCATTTACATCATTCTTTTCCCTCACACACATTATCTCTTACAATCTTCTTAATGCCTTTCTGAGGAGAGGATTGCTTCTGCTCCCATTTGCAAATGAGAAAACAAAGGCTCAGAGATGGCAGGTGGCATTGAAATCTCACATAGCCAGCAAGAGGAAGACAGATGCCTTAGCCAAAGTCTGGCTGACTCCAGAGTGCACTCTATGGCCATGGTGTTCATCTCCCTCCCGGCATGCCTAGGACAGGGTCTGTGACAAGGGGTCAGTAAGGTTTTGATAGTGATTGCAGCCACCACAGCTGAAACACGAAAACCGGAAGCCCTTTGACCAGCTCCTTCCTCTTGCACCAGCAGCCTTGTCTTGCTGTGATGAAAACACTTCCCCAAGAGGCCAAGAGAAGCAGAAACAGCGTCGTGCACGGGCCCCACCTCAGACTCCAACATCTCCCAGAGAGCAAAACAGTGGTTAGTCTTGGAGACCACAGGAGGTGCTGGGTGCCCCTACAATGCCCTCCTCTACATGCCTGACCCACTCCGCTCCCTGTTCCCTGCTGCTGACGCTGTACCTTGTCTTCTCAGGTGAGTGGGATCTGGGCAGAATGGGGTCCACCCCGGCTGGCCTTTGAGAGGGGCGTTAAGTTCTCTGGCATGCCTGGAGAAGCTTGACTCTACCAAGATGCATTGCAGAGGGAGGACACTGGAACTTTTCTGACCCTGGCAGAGAGAGGCAGACCCTGTGCCCCAAGAAGCAGCACAGTGAAGTAACTGAGCTCCCAGGCTCCAGGCTCCGGGTTCTGGCTTGAATGCTCGTGTGTCCATGTCAGATGTCATGGCTCTGTTAGGCCCAGTCTCCTCTTCAACAAAACAGAGGTATTCAGAGGACGTTTCTGTGGGGGTGCTGTGAGTGTTAAATAGAAACATAGTGAGGCTCAGCCCTGAGTCAGCTACTTAATTTGTGAGGCCCAGTGCAAAGCGAAAACGTAGGCCCCTTGTTCAGAAAGTTTTAAGCAACACTGCAAAGCGTTAAACCAAGCACAGGGTCCTTCTAAGCATGGTTCCTTGAACAGCTTTATAGATGGCACACCTGTGAGCCGGCCCTGACTCAGCTTAAGACAGGTGGGCTCAAACCTCTCCAATGACTGGATTAAGCAGCTTCTCTCTAAGCCTTAGTTTTTCCCATCTGTAAAAGGGGGCTAATAATAGGACCCACCTTGTGACTTTATTAGGAGGATTTAACAAGATAATACCTGGCATCATTTAAAGATTTGATAACTGTTGGCTATTATTAGTATTATCATACCCATGTCTCCCCTTACCCAGGGTCAGGCCAGTTTGGCCCCTGAGTGCCAGGAATCCTGGGCATAGCTCATTCTCTGAGTCTGGAGCCCACTGATCCACCAGATGGGATACTTGGCTCTCAATGGGCTCATCCGATCTTCTTCCCATCTGGGCTGCTGCCCAAGGCTCTGCTGAGATTCTCTCACCTTGGGTCCTCCAGGGCATTCCCACCCAGGGGGGATCTCAGTGGGACCCAGGTGTGGGGTCAGAACTGGATGCTCCCTTGCTTTTTGGCTATATGACTTGTGATACCACTTCACTCTCTATACTGGTTTCCTCCATTGTAATATGCGAATCCTAATTACTAGACCTCATTCCACATGTCCTTTTGAGCCTCTGCTATGTTTTAGACACCAGACTAGGAGACCAAAAATCTAAACTACCCAGAATCAAAAATATTCCAAGTGTTTTTTGAAAAATATTGATTTTTCCACCAGACTTCCAAAGGGAGCATCTCAACAGGGACCATGAAAGGCAGAGGATGAAGATAGTTGGGGAGGAATCCCAGAGCTGGGGTAAGGGGCTGGTCCAGCCCACAGACAAGGCAGAGGCACCTCCCAAAGCCCATGCCATAGCACCAAAGGAGACTCGAGAAGGGGAGAGGGAGGGGAGGGCTGGTGGACACCAGCCCAGTTCCAGGCTCCAGTTTCTTCCCTGGCGTTTCACGTCCCCAGACTCACCCCCAGTTGGGATAACACTTTCGGAGTCTTCCCTTCTTCCCACTGCCTCTTCTCCACGCCTCTCTCCCCCCCGTCACAGACTTCATCTGATAAATGTTTTAAATCTTTTTTAAAACAGCTTTATTGAGGTGTGATTGACACAATAAGCTGTACATGCGTAAAGTACACAGTTGGATGAGTTTTGTGGGTGTTGGATGCGGTTCACACTTGTGAAATCATCTCCAAAATCTACGTAATGAACATATCCAGCACCCGCAAAAGTTTCCTTGTGAGTCATTCTTTTCCACGCCTCCTTGTCTCCAGGCAACCATAGGGCTTTTCTTTCACTATGGGTTGCATTTTCTAGAACGTTATGTAACAAGGATCATACAGCAATGGTACTCCTTTTTGTCTGGCTTATTTTACTCGGCATAGTCATGTTGAGATTCATTCAAATCGTTGCACATGTCAGTGGTTCAGTTATTTTCATGCTGGTCTATATTATGAATAAACCATTTTCCATTCATCTGTTGACAGACGTTTGGGTTGTTTGTAGTTGGGGCTAATACAAATCAAGTGTCTGTGAGTATTCGTGTACTAGTCTTTGTGTGGACACATGCTTTCATTTCTCTTGGGGAAATGCCTAAGAATAAAATGACTGGATCATATGGTAGCAGTATGTTTAACTTTTTAAGACACTGCCAAACTGTTTTCCAAATCTGTTGAACCATTTTACATTCTCATCAACAATGTAAGAGGATGACAGTTCCTCCACATCCTTGTCAACACTTATTATGGTCAATCTTTTCAATTTTGGTCATTGTAACAGGTATATAGTCACTGTAGTTTTAATCTGCATTTCCCTAATGTGTAATAATACTGAACATCTTTCACGCTGTACATCCTTTTTGGTGAAGTCTCTGTTCAACTTCCATTATTTAAGTGTGTTTCTTATTATTGAATTTTGAGAGTTCTTTACATATTCCGGATACAAGCGTTCTATCATATATATGCTTTACAAAGGTTTTTCACAGCTCTGTAGGTTGTCTTATTCTTTTACAAATGTCTTTGAACAGCAGGAATTCTTAATTTTTACGAAGTCCAATTCATCAATTTGTCTTTTATGTACAATGATCTTGGTATTGTATTAAGAAATCTTCGCCTAATCCAAAGGTAAAAATATTTTTTTCCTATGTTTTTATCTAGAAGTTGAGGTTTTATATTTTATATTTAGTTCTATAACTCATTTTGAATTTTTATATGATTCAAGTTATGAACCAAAGTTCATTTGTTTGCACAAGTTTAATTGTTCCAATTGTTCTGGCACCATTGTAGAAAAACTTCTTTCTCCACTGAATTGTCTTTACACTGTTGTCAAAAATCAGTTGTCCATATATGTGTGGACTAGTTCTTTACCCTCTATTCAGTTTCCTTGATAAGTTTATCCATCTTTGTGCAAATATCACATTGTCTTGATTGTACAGTAAGTCTTAGAATCAGATAGTATTAGTTTTCCAGCTTCATTCTTTTTCAAATTGTTTGGCTCTTCTAAAAACTTTATATTTAGTTTGTTGATTTCTAGAGTGAAATCTGCTAGAGTTTGAATAGGAATTGCATTGAATCTATATATATATCAATTTGAGGAAAATTTTCATCTTATCGATATTGAGTCTTCCAACATGAACAATATGTGTCTCTCTATTTAGGTTTTTTTTTCCCTCTCTCAGCAATGTTTTCAGTTTACAGTTCCTTCACATTTTTTTGCTAAACATCTCCTATTATTGATAACATTTATTGTTGCAATTTTTACAATTTCCATTTGTTTGTTACAAGTATGTAGTAATACAAATAACTTTGTATAATGATTTTGTATCTTGCAACCTTACAAAACTCATTTATTAGGTCTAGTCGTTTTTTAAAGAGATTTCCATTGCAATTTTGATCATGTCTTCTGCAAGTAAAGGTATTTTCTTCTTTTCAAATTTGGATGCCATCAATTTCCTTGGATTATTGTATTGCACTGGTTAGAACCTCTACTACAATGCTGAATAGAAATTGTAAGAACTTACCAGGCACAGTGGCATGTGCCTGTAATCCCAGCACATTGGAGACCGAGGTGGGAGGATTACTTGAGGCCAGGAGTCTGAGACCAGCCTGGTAAACATAGTAAGACCCTATCTCTACAAAAAATTAGCCGTGCATGGTGGTACACGCCTGTAGGCCCAGCTACTCAGGAAGCTAAGACAGAAGGATCACCCGAGCCCAGAAGGTTGAGGCTGCAGTGAGCTGTGCTTGTGCCACTCTACTCCAGCCTAGGTGACAGAGTAAGACCCTGTCTCTAAAACAAAAACAAAATTGTAAAAGCAGACATCCTTGTCTCATTCCTTACCTTGAGGGAACACATTCGTGTTTTTATCACTACACCATGCATAGTATGTTTGCTGTAGGATTTTCACAGATGCCTTTATCAATTTGAAGAAGTTTCCTTCAATTGTTTGCTGAGAGTTGTTATTAAGAATGGATGTTGGATTTTGTCAACTGCTTTTTCTGCATCTATTGAGTGACCATATAGGGTTGTGTGTGTGTGTGTGTGTGTGTGTGTATGTATCTGCGTGTGTGACATTTATTGATTCTTGAAGGTTAAACCAACTTTACATTTCAGAGATAAACTCAACTTGAACATAATACTTTTTACTTATTATATAACTTTTTATATATCGCTGAATTTGGTTTACTAAAATTTTACTTAGAAATCTTCATCTATGTTCAAGAGGGATATTGGTTTTCTTTTCTCATGAGAACGTTGTCTGACTTTGGTTTCAGAATAACTCCAGATTCATAGAATAATTAGGAAAGTATGCCTTTCTTTTCAATTTACTGAAAATATTTGTATAAAATTGATGTTCTTTCTTTCATAAATGTATGGTAAAATTCATTAGTGAAACTATCTAGAATTGGAGTATTATTTCTGGGAAAGTTTTTAACAACCAATTAAAAATTTTAATAGACAACAGGGTTATCCAAGTTATCTATTTTTTCTTGTGGTAGTTTTGGTAGTTTGTGTTTTTCAAGAATTGTGTTCAAGTTACCTAAGTTATAAAAATGCATAGATTGAAGTTGTTCATAATATTCTCTTATTATCCCATTAATAAGTGTAAAGTCTGTAGTAGTATTACCAATCTCATTTGTGATTTTAGTCATTTAAATTATCTTTCTGTTTCTCACCCTCTCTTTCTCACTCTCTCACTTTCCTTTACCCCTGTTCAGTCTTGCTAGAGGTCTGCCAATTTTAGTGATCTTCTCAAAGATTTTCTTTTTCTCATTGATTTTTTTAAAACATATTTTTTATTTTAAAATTGTGGGGTACAGTTAAGGGTTAGGTATACAAATATGCATTGTGCAGGTACCCTTGTTGATGAGGTGTGCCCCCCGTCCCCAGACATATATTGACTACCGTTAATCCCACCTCCCTTCCCCTCCCTGCCCCCCCATAGTTTCCCACCACTGTCAATCCTTTTCTTATAGTATTACGATAGTTTTTCAAGGTCCACTTGTGAGTGAGAACATGTGATACTCAGATCT